ATGATTAATCATAGATTGTGACATAAGGATTGACACTTATGTCTGGCAAATTTTATACTTGCGGGTTTATAAATTCTTCAGATCCAAAACACACAAACTCTGTCTTTTGTTCCATATAAACCTTGTTGTTTTTAATCGCTAGAGACGCGAATCTTTAACACCCAACATATATATTTCCCTATGAAGAACTTTACAATTTTTTTTAGAACATCTCAATCTTCACAAGGATTCAAAATTTTAACCATTAAATATTTTAACAAATTCAGATATCTCCAACATGTTAAAAAATGCATTGCTTCAACACTATGTGAAAACTTCTTCACTGACTGGTCTAAAGGGGATGTTTAATCCTATTAGTAATCTGATCCTACCTCTGCTATTTTTGTCCGGGTTTTTATGCCCTGTTCACAGATTTATATTATTTTTTATTATTTGACATCAATTACTGTTCGCTCTATTTACCTTTTTCATTTAGGCTATTGGCTTGCTTTACTGAAACTGGTCATAGTTTTTTTTGGAGTTAATGTGGTGTTTATATGAACGAAATTCAATGCACATCTGAAAAGACTTTAGTAAAATATATGCTATTACAGATGCAAGTATCTTTTGTTTAAGAAGGATTCTGTAGCAGCCAATATGTCCTACATCTCTACCTTAAGAATTTGTGTATCATAAATTTTCTAAGCTTTTGCAGAGAATATTTAAATTTTGAAAATCCAAAGAGCTTAAACACACCTAAAAAGATTTCTCTACCTTATAAACTACTTACTTAACCTTTATTTAACACTTACTTCTCTTGTATTATAGTTTTTTGTTAATTATTATTAATAAAAGCATACAGCACAAGGTCCTTAAAGCCTTGCAAAATCATTATTAGAATTTCGAAGTCACTGAATCTTGAATGAAAAAGTCTTTGCATTTGTATACTGTAATATTATAACTTTTAAACTTTTAATGAAAAGACAAAGGAAAATTGTAAAATGTTAATACATTGGGTTTTAGTTATTAGGATTATTAGAATTCCATCAATATGAGAGAAAGATTTTCACATTCAGTATGTATTTCCTTATATTAAAGGGAAACAAGATCAAAAGTTGCTGTTAAGGGAAACACTTCAGTCATATCTCCAAATACAGAAAAAAGAATTGATCTTAATCAATGGGCACTCACAACCACCACTGACAGACATGTTATTAGAAGAGGAATTGTAGAAACTTTTGAATTTAAACATACCGTTTTGTTGACTTAATTAAATACTCGATTGAGATTTAGCTAGTGATTTATTGTAACCCACCCCTTTAGTAAGGGATAATTTTACAAAGCTGGAGTTCTCATGCCTGTAGGTCACAAGGCATACGTTCGCCAGTAGGCATTGACTTCCTCTTCCTAAAGTTTACAGCCCTAATGTCAATGAAATATGAAGATAAGTAATAATGATCAAGCTTGAAAAATCCATTTGAAGAATACAGATTTGGAGCAAAGTAGACAGGGGCTTCTAAAATCAACAGAGGTGGGATCAGATTCATTGAATTGTGAGCATCCCCTGTTAACCAGTCTCACCCTGTGCTTTTTGTCATGACTTTGTAAAACAAAGTCGGTGGTCAATTCATTGTAAATTGCGCAGACTGATTCTGATACTCAACACAAAGTTGCCTTTTCCTTTGATTTCAAATGTCTATGGACTTTGATGTGGTAATTATGCTTAACCTAACTGTCTAAGATAAATGTTTAGCCCCCATTGTTGCTAAATTGGGTACAAAAGTTTAACTACCTTTGCCATCCTATCTGATTTTTTCAGTATTTTATTGACGTATGTCATGTAAAACGTGTGTGGGCATAAAGATATTTGTTACTTAGATACTATCCTAAACTGGCTTAGAGAGATACGATTCAGGGGTGTTTTTTTTTATTTTATTATTATTATTTTTTTTTTTTTACTTTTTTTAATGACTAAACATTTTTGCAAGCGGTATTTTTATTTTAGTTTTGTTTAGCGTATTATTAAATGTAACTGTGGATTTTTCACGTTATTTCCCGATTATCAGGACAGGTGCAAGCGGTCAACAATCGAATGTTTTCTCCACCATTACACCTCATCCCACCTCTGATGTTTTGTATTGTTTGAATGGACTTTCGAGCTTGAATAATGTTGGTTATCTCCATAAATTTCATATTTCCAGCAGACAAGGCTTGTAATAATGTCTTTGCTATCGTTTGTTCATTATCATAATATGATTAATTGTATTTTAGAAGAACGTAGTCTTAAACCTGCTTTTAGACGCTTATATTCCCAGTTTCCTCTCTAAAGACATGCGTGGATCTAGAGGGGTGGGGGTGAACCCCCCCCCCCCTGGAATTTGCAAGGTTATTAAGTTTATATATATAATATTTACAAAAGCAAGAAAAAAGGTTAACTTGGACCCCCCTCGGAAAACGTAGACCCCCTTCGTAAAGGCGAATTTGTGCTTCAAAGGATTGAAGCATTAGAAGTCATCGACTACCCCCCCCCCCCTCTGAAATAGGTTTTCGCTGTTTTGGCGAGTTGCGAGAAAATAAGATTCTTATTGACATTACAAAGAAATGCTTTACCAAGCACCTGTATTTACATGCATAGCACTAAATATATTTCATTGGTTTAATTTTACACTATAATAAATGTTTATTGGTATTTCTATTCAACATATCTTCAGATCATATGGACATGTATATTTCACAATTGATAAAAATCATCACTTTATTATATTTCCTTTTGAATATAATAATTTTGATGATGAAGTTCAATTTTGAATTAAAAGTAGGGTCAACATGCCTTTAGAAAATGCCTTTATTACTGCTTAAGTGAAATAAAATATATTAATTATTTTTGTCTCTGATCAGTATATAACCTCCAAGCTGATCAATATTGAAAGCGAGATAACCCTGAATGTAACAGAAATTACTCACACCGTTTGTATTAACGATCTAAATACCTATATAAAAAATAAACAGATCGAGGCTGTTTTAGAATAGTTGTGTAAAAAAGTGAAGAACGGGGTTATATATTAACATCATGAGTTGAAACATAAGATATGTTTAATGTCTAATGCAATCTTTCTAAAAATTCTTCTGTACTCCTGGACACCAAGCAGTCAAACTGTTGGCATGAATGTAATTTATAAGCATTGAGTCCTCTAACAAAATTGAGAGTTTCATGGCCCCAGGGTCGCGGGCTCAAGTGCTGTAATAAGGTGGGGCTATATTGATTATATTTTGAAAATGCATTATTTCTTTGAATATCCTCTTCTCTGCCCCTGGTCGTTAAACAAACAAATTTATTGTATAGTTATGAGGAAGGGTGCTTCTTCGAAAATTGTGAATTTCATGGCCCCAGGGTCAGGGGTTGTGGTGTTCGGATGGGGCTATATTGATTATTAAAAAAATGCATTAATTCTTTGAAAATCTTCCATGCTCCTGGGTATTAATTAAACTATAGCTACATACATACTAGTAGATATGATGAGGAAGGATGCCTCTTCGAAAATTGTGAATTTCATAACCCAATGGTCAAGGGCGCTTGTGTTATGCATGAATTCTTTGAAAATCTTCTCTGCTCCTGGGTTTTTAACAAAATAATTAAGTACATAGTTATAATGAGCAGGAGTGCCTCTTCATGAATTGGGAATTTCATTGCCCCAGTATCAAGGGTTCTGGTGTAAGAGCTGGGCTCTATTTATAACATAGTGAAAATACATTTATTCTTTGAATTTTTTCTTTCTCTGTTTAAACTAATTATACAAATAGATATGACGAGCAAAGGCCATTCTTCCAGCATTGTGAATTTAAAGACTCTGGATCAGGGGTACTGTAAAGGACGTGGGGGGGGGGGTATTATTATATACTGAAAATGAATTCATTCTTTGAAATCTGCTCCTTGATGTTACATTTATAGTGAGCAAGGAAGCCTCTTTCAAAATTGTGAAATGTGTGGACCTAGGGTCAGGGGTTCTTATGGGTAGTAGACACTACTGATTATTTTCGAATATTACTGATAAGTTGAAATGCATTTTTTGTTCCCCTACTCTGCTTATGGGTGGAAAAATACCAAACTAAACATGCTAAATGAATTGTTATGATAAGCAATGGTGCCTCTTTCAAAATTGTGAATGTCTTGGCCTCTGGTTTAAAACATTAACCAAATTCAATTGTCGGCAGGGGATGCTCACTCCTCCATGGCACCTGATCCCATCTCCTGATGTTTTGGGGGTCCGTGTTTGCTCTGCTGCTATTTTATATTGTTTTATGGACTTTTGATCTTGAATACTGTTCGTTATTTCCATATGTCTCATTAGAAAGTTGTTGCATGATGCTCAGGTGACCTATAAAGCCTATGGGCCTCTTGTTTAATTTTTATTACTTAACAAGAAGGGGAGATAACTCTTCTACAATGTCAAGGTCATAAATTAGAATACGATCCATTCATACATGCTACTAGCAATGCATGTAGATGGCAATTGTCTAAATATACGGAGTATACATCTGTTTTGTATTCAGAATTGAATATTAGGTCATTATGGATGGAATGCCTTAAGTTTAAATGTGAGAAATTAAGGGGGAAAACTTAATTCAGTCTAGTCACGATTTATTATGTATTTTTGTGGTAAAAATGTCTCCAAAGGCACGCTTTATGTTGCCGCAGACTTAAGGGGACGATAATTCGATTCTGGAAGGGGAGGACTGTCAATATTTTTCGAGTCAAATTTTGATTTCATGACAGTCGAGGGCAGATTAGTCTTGTGTGTGCGTGTGTTGTGTGTAAGGGGTGGGTGGATAAATAGCACTGTTGATGATAATCTTCCTATATGTAAAGTTATAGTGCATGTGACATTAAGCAATACTCCTATTATGACGTCCTAATTATGAATTCTTACTTGTTTTCTTCTTCTTAACTGAAAAATGGTTTGAGAGCTAAAGAAAGGGAAAACACCCAAACTCCAACACTCTTATTTTGTGGGGTTGGATAAGTAGCACTGGTCAAAGACAAATCATTACCTTTTTCGAGGACAGATTATTTATTTACAGAATCTGCCCACCTTTTCAGAATCAAATCGTCGTCCGTTAATGTAAATTAAACCAGAATCTGTCATCAAATCACAAGACAAAATTAGAAATTTGGGGAAACGCATCCGTAATTAACAGATCCTGATTCAATTATCAAGGGGTGCCGATATTCAATATAGGTTATTTTTCATAGTGGTATTAAACAAAGGAGTCCAGGAATTTGTCCGTAAGAGACAGTTGTGCCGTTTGTGCACCATTCGCTTTCGCTAAATATTACATTGACGCCATTTTCTGTCACAGAATGGTGACAACTCATCACTTGGAAGCTTGGGGGACCAACCATCTTTAACCAGATGGTATATTCCTGGTTTGTTTTAACTGAGCACTGGTTATCAAAGATTATTTGGAATTCTCTCTCTGTGTTGGTAACAGATTGCTCCGAGAAGAATGCTACTGTTTCATTGTCACTGTTAATTATTTTGGCTTCAATTGTGTAGGTAGATGGATTATAATCAAGACTTCCAAGCAAAATTAATCCACGAATGTGCAAAGATTTATTGACTTTAAACTTCAATGCGTCTATATCACCATTTAAATTACATGACACTTTATGAGGTGTACCTCTGTAAATAGAGATGACCTTTTTCCTAGGATTAGTTAAGAAAGGCATAACATCTCCAGCATGTATCCCTACAATGAATTTGGAGATTTGATCTTTTTCTTGGGTTGTCAAAATGTTGTCCCAAGCTACCTCCTTCCAAAACGTTTCTAAAGACATTAAAGGGAATCCAATTTGATACAAAAGATCTCCCATCATGCTGCGAATATTTTCAGAATTATTCACATCCTTCCCATCTTTTTCGCAGTTTTTATGTGACCACAATCTTAAGGACTTGTAGAGAAATTCCTCATTTACAGGCAACGTATCTAATTTCAAAAGTGACATTAAACATTCTCTACTCAGACTGAGAAAGCCATGTGACTTCAAAAATGTTTTAGCAGTAGCCTCGGACTGCACTATAAAGTCAATACATCTGGTGAGTAAATCATTTAAATTAAACAGCTTTGCATTCTCCATAATGGCGCAGACCGACTCCTCATTAATGTGGTTTTTCAGGTAAGAATTACAGGCTTCTTTTAGGTCCGTTACACCATACTTCTCTGAAGCATACAGAGTCCCAGTGACACTTTCCTCATTTATGTTTGTTTCCTCGTAATAAAGGAACCTACAACGGAAAAGTTAAGGAGAGACAAATGTATGGAAGTCAACTTTATTCCGATGAATTTTTACTTCTTTTCCAAGTCAGAAATAGAATTTTATTTGCTACAAAATCTCTAATGTATTCAAGAAGTACTGCTTCACATAGATATTTTTTCTATGCCGATTTTATATATTCAAGTGTAAGTTATTTAATTGGAAAAATATGAATATTTCAAAAGTGCATTAGGTTCATAGTTTTTATACAGAACCCGAGAGTGATTATAGAACTGACTGATTCTAGATTTCAAAATATACAGGACATACTTGTACTTCTTATCAGAAATATTGATTTCGAGTGAAAACTAAATATCAATAATTACTAGACCCTACATGTATTTCTTTTTTAAATTTCTATTGAAAAAGGTGGATATACACATTTTCGATTCGAACCTGCGATGTAATTTAAAGATTTAACAGTATTTCTCCTTATTCTTGTTCAAGAGCAAACTTTCAAATCACCAAGCCATCCGTGAGAAAAGTTCTAGCAATGAATAAGTTTCAAGCTACTTTATATAATTTAACCAAATTATTTATTTAATTTTACCTCAAAAGATTTTGAAACACTTCATGTTCAATATCGGGCACAGCGATGTTAAATGAAGTACCCGAGAGACTTCCGAACATCATGGCATAAAATACGGAACTCCTACTGCCCAAAACATATCTGTGTGCTTTTACTTCTTTTTCCTCCTGTCCCACCTTGAATGTAACATCAAACTGAATTTGGTTCGTTAACATGTACTTATTACATTCGAGAACTTTTCTTCCAGCTTGCCAGTTCATATCCTCCTGATCCATTTTCAATAACTTGAATCTCAATCTATAAATCAACAACGAAATGAATACATTGAAGTCTTATTGAAGGTTAGATTACAGTTCGTTAATTCAGGACTTTCAGATACGTTAAGGCTTCTCAAAGTTTAATTTAAAAATGCGTTCAAACCATATTTGGTGTTAATGTATAATATGCATGCCGCATTTGAATTTGAATCCAATAGTTTTTGAAACCCCTTACTCCAAGACTCTTAAGAAAATGCTCTATAACCGTTTCCCCACGCGGGAGACTTATACCAATATTGTTAAATAATTAAAGATGTCAGGTTTGATCTTCTTAGAACTAGACACATTATAATTCTTTTTTTTATTGAAACTTTTCACAAACGGTATCACAATAAACATTCATCACATTCAATTACCTAGTTTTACCCCTACTTTATCTATTAAATTTTACAAAGATGTAAATGAAAAATGGATGAAAATTAGTCGTATGGAAAATATGTATCCACTCACCGGGGAGATGAAACATCACAAAACAACATAGAAATAATTTTATAGCACTTTCACATGGGAATGGGTTTCCATACAATTCGATGTCGATTTGATACACGGACACATTAATATTATCATCTGCATTTGTAATATGAAATTCTGATATTTTCATCTTTGCCATTAACCTTTGCAATCATTGGATTTCATTGAGACTGAGTGTACATGTACGATTTATGTCTTGCTAATATTAGTTGAACACGCGTACGACCCTGCGAAAATGAAAGTAAATGCATGTTTCTAATCAAACTGTGCAAATCTTTATAGTTCTATTTTTGCTCTTTAAATGCTGGAAAGTAAACTTGCAATGTATTATTGATACATATAGCACGCTGTAAAATGAAGCAAAATTTATAAAAAAAAATTCAAAGAATACAGTACCACAAACAGGTTTAAAGTGTCTTATATATAGTGAACAAAAATAGTAATTTTAAAAGAATAGAACTATTTCTGATGGAAATATGTACTAGAATTAAAGTGATGAGTTAGCCATTTGTTTTCAATACAGCACATATTTGGAGAGAATGCTTTCGAATAATCCTAAACATTACTGAAGAATTTAATTCTTGATTGAAATTATATTTATGAAAGTGTTGTTTTTTCAGTATGCACCTATATCAAACAATTTTTTTTTCCTTAAAGGTATGTGATAAGGATTTTGAAAATAAAATTAATGCAAAATCGTAACTTTTCCAAATTTGAAAACAATTAATGTTTGCATTTTTGTATCCGGCGGTAACCTTTTAAACGACTGTGCACTTACATGAATTTCATCTGTGCAAAATGGGGCCAAATGAGGTAATAATAATAATAATAATGTAATATAATGCTGTGGCCATTGTTGAGCTTTAAGAACACCCTTTAAAGAAAGGGGAGCACATCAATTACACCGGTAAAAATTCTGGAAATTTGTCGCTTCAATTCTAAATTCAATGTAAATACATGTTATGTACAAAATGACTAAAATGCATTAAACCCTAGTGAGTAGTAAGCTGATGCCTCTCGAAGCCCCAAAACGCTACACAACCAATAAATAGTATTTTTGTGTGTGTCACGGGTGGGGTCCGATTTAACTAAAACCTTTTTGGACAGATGGGTTTATAGTAAGCTCCCAAACTATATTTGCAACAACTGATAATCTCTGAAAAGTGATTGGCCACCACCCTATCCTCATTCCCGACACTACAGCTTAACACACTTTTTAAACTCACATGGTTTTTCGCACAAATTAAGATAATTTAAACAATAAAATGCTGTCTTTGTTTGTTATTACTGGAATTAACGGTCGCAGCTGTTGCAGAAAAAATACATAACCCGCGTAAGCGTGTTATGTAAATTTTTTCTGCAATAGCTGCGACCGTTAATTCCAGTAATAACAAACAAAAAAAAGACATTTTATTGTTTATATTAATATCTGTTTAGATAATCATTTAAAGTAGGATTAAAAAGATTAATTATTGTATTAATGATGCGAACGTCTTTATACGTTTCATTGATGGAACAGCCACTGATCAAGAAATATGTACAGGCAACATGCCAAATGTAGTTCATGCAGTGATTAACGCAATGGGTTTTCTTAAGAAATAAAGAAGAAAATATTCAGTGGATGTAAATATATTGTTATAATGCAAAAATCGTGTAATGTGACAACAAAATATATGTAAGAAATGATTTATAACTTAATTTTGATCATATCCCATTACTTTAATCATAATTCACACATAATTATTGGTAGGATTTTTATATGCTCTTGGTTGATATCTTATGAGAATTTCCAAAAGGTTTTTTCATTGTTTCTCGTCAAATGCAACCGTCTTTGTTCCCGACCATTTTAATGCATACTTTTACCTTGCCTTAATACAGAAACAGTGCAGTTCATGTTATTTCTGTATTTTCTAAACATTAATATGACACTAAGGCGCAAGATGATAGAAGCATTTCCCATCTGTTCGACTCCTTTCCGTGTTAAATGATGGCATTTTTTCAGTTCGACTTCCTGAAATCTATAGCATCATGAAAGATACCTTCCATCGGAAAATTTCAGACTTTCAGACCATAAATGTAAATGAAGTTTCTTTTCGATATTTACAATTTACGTTGTTGAAAGATAAACAATACTTTATTATCCTATCCTTTTGCATGATTTCTTTATGCAGTTTTTTTTTCATTTTTCGGCGCTGAATTTCGACAAAACCAAGACAAGTATAAAAAATGTGCAAAGTACCTCGAAAAGTACTCATTTTTAAGAAGTAAATTTGAACATTTCAACCACATAGTATCAAAGAAAGATCCATTGATTACGGAGGCTCATTACATCACTTTTTGATGACGTACTACACAAAAAAATAAACCTCCATTGTGTCCTCTGGGGACGAATTGTACAGGTACCTCTATAATATGACCCTCACTTTTAAAACGCTTTAAAAATAGATGAAACATGCGTTGTTGTAAACAGTGAAAACAAAGTAACGGATTCATTATGCGTAAACCAAGAAGAATTGCTTTTAAGCAGAAACAAAAGAAAACAACAGTCAAATCTTCGCCAAACAAGTAATGTCAATTTCATAGCCATGCATGCAGTGAGCTCTGTCAATCATTGACATGTCTGTATGGAGTAAATTCGAGTTAAAATCTACAATCTCTATTTACTGTGTTGGTGTTAATTCATATATTTGCTTTATTGATTTAAATGTATACTCTGGCAATTTAAAGCTTTTTTCTGAATTTTAGATATAATGTCAAACGTTCCATAGTGTTTTGAGTCTTCGCTAATTAGGAAAGATAACTCTTGAAAGTGGACTTTTTATACCAAATATTTTTTTAATTGGATTTTTCATTTCGTTTAAACTTTCTTCATTCAATTTGACACATGTAATTCATTGAAATACATTCCTTATCTCTTCAAAACACATTTTCTTAATGTTTTATGCAAAGATTAAAAAGATAATGATATTAATTGATATCTAGGAGAAAATTATATTTTCTAATAAAATTATTATTAGGTATTATGAGGTATTTTCACTGTGTGTACTTGTCTTAAGAAGATGCCCATCATTTGACACTGAAATCCTGTTAATAATAAACTTGAAATAAAACATTTCACTAAAATTAGACAAAAGCTAAAAAATTCTATAAAAAATATTTATGATATCAAGACCACCATCTGGATATTTGACATCTACATTATAAGTGGTGCTGTATTGAAATCTAAAATAAACTGTGCCACCTTAATTTTTAAAAACCTATGACAGAATCATACACATTTAACATCATACAATTTATGAACAAACCTTTTAGAGCACTGGCTTTTTAAACTTAAGAAACTGATTTTAAAGAATGTGCACCTGTAAAATGAAACCATTTAATACTATATGGTTATGTCTTGTACTGAAACTCGATACTTTTAAGCTTTATTGCAAGAACATCTGACTTTAATTTGTGCGAAAATCCATGTGAGTTTAAAAAATGCGTTGAGCTGTATGTATTTGAAACCAAAATATGTTAAACTAATCAAATTAGAAGTCAAATGTTACTAGATTTGAAATGGCCTTTATATAACAAGATCAATTAAATATGCTGATATTTAATATAATTGTGTAATTATAACGGTATTGAAAAGAGAAATCCAGGAATTTGTCCTCTAGATTCATTCGTGCCATTAGTACACAGATCACTTGTCTTAAAAGTAACTTGAACGTCATCTTCAGTCACCATGGAATGACAATTCTTCATCCGGTAGCTTTTAGATCCAAACATCCTTAACCAAATTGTATAATCCTGGTTTGCTTCAACTAAACAGTGCTCATCAAAGCTAACTTGAAATTCTTTGCCACTGCTGGTAACCGGTTGTTCTAGAAACCAACATACAGTTTTATTATCACTATTTATTATTTTGACTTCTACTGTGTAGGTGTACAAATCCTTTTCACAACTACCAAGCAGAATCAAGCCGCGCATGTACAAAGTTTTGTTAACTCTGAATATGAGTGCATCTATTCTACCATAAAACCTCCAGAAGGGATGATAATCTGTGCCTCTATAAATAGTGATATCCTTTGTCCTATGACGTGTTGGGAAAATCAGTGCATTTTCAACAGGTATACCGGCAATAAATTTTGATATTTGATCTTTTTCTTGGTCTGTTAGAATGTTGTCCCCAGCTATCTTCAGGAATGTTCCCAATGACATGAGAGGGAATCTAACATGATGTAAAAGATCTCCCATCATGCTTCGAATATTTTCCGTATTATTCAAATCACTCCCTTTCTTATCACAGTTTCGAAGTGACCACAACTTTAAGGATTTGTAGAGAAATTCCTCATTGACAGGCAGATTATCTAATTTGGTTAGTGACGCTAAACACTCTCTATTTAGCTCAGAAAAATTCGGTGATTCAAACACTGATTTAGTAGTAGCCTCTGACTGTACTATAAAGTTAATACATTTGGTGAACAAGTCATTTAAACTAAACAGTTTTGCATTTTCCATAATGGTACAGACAGACTCCTCACTGATGTGGTTTTTCAGGTAAGAATTACAATATTCTTTTAGGTCAGCCACACCATACTTCTCTGAAGCATACAGAATCCCTAAAACATTTTCCTCCTTTACAGTTATCTCCTCATAATAAAGGAACCTACAATTCACAAAAAAAAAGTATGTAAATCATCTCTATGACATCCATGCCATTTGTATTTTTAAACACTTCTCCAAATGCATATTCATTCGACATATACCACACATGTAATTACGACAGAAAAGTTGTACTTTTTAATTACAGTCAAAGTTTCCTTTCAAGGACACCACGGAGGGAGTGCAATCCGAAAAAAAAAGATAATTCATGTAATCTTTTTTTGACTTTCAAAGAGTAGGCAATTTGAATAAGTTTATTTCATTTTAAATAATTATTCAATAACAATTAAGGATATTCGGAAGGCATATATATGTATATTATAAACTGCTCGTAAAATGTCCACAATGTCAGAAAAAAATTGTTTGCATGAATATTTATGTAAACTTACCTCAACAGTTCTTGGAAAATATCAGATTCAATATCAGGAACAATGATGTCAGTAGAATTACCCGAGAGACTTCCAAACAGCATGGCATAAAATACGGAACTCCTACTGCCCAAAACATATCTGTGTGCTTTTACTTCTTTTTCCTCCTGTCCAACCTTGAATAAAACATCGCACTGGATTTGGTTGGTCAACATGTGTTTGTTACATTCAAGAACTTTCTTTCCAACTTGCCAGTTGTTACTGGATTGATCTATTTCCGACATCTTGGATCATCATCTGAGTGGAGTTATCTGTAATTGACTTTTAACAGTTAAATATAATTTATTACTTCAGCCTGTAGAAATTAGTGGGGTAAATGTTCCTTGCACCTTGTTATATACCATCAATTCTCTCTCTTTTATTTGAAAAGAATGTTAGTACAGCTTCGGGAACTGTTATTAAACCTTTGCACATAGTTACATGATACGTTGGAGACGTGCATTTACTTAAGCAACTTATTCTAGGAAAGTCTAATAAAAAATGAATGATTTTCATTTCTAGGCAAGCATACATTTCAAGTCTTCATCGTATATAATACCTCTTGAATTCTGAGGCTTTTTATTTATTTATTTATTTTAATTTATTGAAAGTTCCTTTTGAACGTGTCCTCTCTTTCTATAGCAGAAAACCACCTTAATTAAATCATAATACAAAGAGAACTGATCAAATTAAATGATTATAAATTAATATTGTATTGTGCAATTTTTAGGTAATATCATATTACACAATTTTTTTTAAATGTGTAGACGTATAATACAATAATCATTAAACAACTAAATTTTCTCGCTAGTAATATTCAGATATATCCAAATAAAGAATTTAACCCCTGTGTTGAAAAATAAAAAAAAAACTTTTGATAGAATGGTAAAGTGGGATATATCATTTAATTATACTTTGGTATATATTATATAGTAATTAAATAATTCAATAGCTTGGGGTGATACATGTAACTGAAAATAAAAATGAACAAAAATTAAAACTATAATATGGTTTTCAAGAATTTAAATGTACTATTAGTAGGTCTGTCTATTCTATATGTTGGACAAATGAACTCCATATCAAGATTAAAATATTAAACAATAAACAGTGTACGTCTAGTATATCGAATATTAAGTGTTTGTTAAAATGTATGAATTTCTAATGGACTAATTATTTTTAAGTCGTTATTTTATTTAAAGATAATTATATTCGTAAAACCTCACGACATACGTCCAATAAAATAACGCTTATATACATGTAGGTATTTTTCTTTAATATAGGTAAGTAATGATACACTGCGTGTCCCTCTGAGTAGGCCTCTTTAACAAATCATGACTTTTTACACCATTACTTATTTGGTTTTAAGCGAATAACAGTTCGGGGAAAGCTATTGCCAGATATTTTCTACGTATATGGAAAATATTAAAGTAATATGAAGAAAGGAGACCAGAGAGAAGATAATAATAAATATATATGTATATATTACCACTGATATCCAATATGAAGGGCTCTTCATGTGTTGCTATTCTTTAACAAATATGGAGAAGTTTAAATACGTATATCAACAATGGAATCGGGTCGAGGTCTAATCCGTTATTTTGAACCAGTTTAAATATAATGAAATAATTGAGTAAAGGGGGAAATTGGGACCGGGTAATTTAATTCGATTGAGTCCAATAGATGAAGTGACTATACAATCTTTTTTTTGTTAAATATGGATTTTTTTTTCATAATTACTGTATTGAAAAATGAAAAGGTCAAAGTTTCAAGAAGACAGGCACTAACTGATGGTGTCAAATTAATATAAGAGTATAAGAAGGAAAGTACGATAAATAAATGTTAACTTAAAGGCTGAAGATAGCACACAGTGATCATTCTGGAAAAAAATAAATGAATGATAAAAAAAAGTGAGAGCATTGGACACAAAACATTGACTCGAAAAATTCCAGAGGTAGAATCAAATGCCTAGAGGGAGTGGGCAAAATTGAATTCATTAAAAAATGGAAAAGAATGCCAGACATGCTTATAGTATTATAAGAAAATCAATTTTAACGCGAAAAGATTATTTAATTCTAAAGCCAAATTTCCGAATCATTTTAATCTAGAGTATGATAGAAAACATACTGAAAAGGCTTAAATTTGTGACTCGTTTTAGAACATATTAGCTCACTTAAAATACATACAAGAAATAAGAGAAAAAATCAAAAACTCCATCTAAAACAACTTAGACATGTTTAAAGTAGAAATTGGCCTACTACAAATGCAGGGAAACACAATGCAGACAAATGCAAATCAGTTGATCCTGAAATTTATCTGCATATAAAATAACGTTCTGAAAACAGTGATGAAATTATGGTCTTGTGAATACTTAAAAGAAGGTATCCATTGAAATATGTTCAAAGTCAGAAAATATATGCTTATCTTTAAAAGCAGATTTTCTGACACATTGAATGGTATTTTTTATGTCACCTAAGTAAACTCAGGTGTTTTCGTCCGTCGTCGCTATCCATTTTCGTCCGTCGTCGTGCGTTGTGCGTCGTGCGTTAACATTTGAACATTTTCAGCTTCTTCTCTGCAACCACTCAACCAATTTCCACCAAATTTGCAATAAAGGATCTATCGGTTAAGGGGAACTAAAATTGTGAATGTCATGGTCCCTGTCCCCCCTGGGGTCTATGGGGTGGGGGCCAAAACAACTAAAATTAATGCAATCTTTAAAAATCTTCTTTACTCCTGGATATCAGGCAGTCGAAATGTTTGCATGATTGTAATCAGCATTGATTCCTCTTCCAAAATTGTGAAATTCATGGCCCTGTTGTCAGGGGGTTCCAGTGCTAGGGTGGGGCTAAGTAGATTATATAGTGATTTCTTTGAAAACCTTCTCCTTTGCTCTTGGGCAATAAATAAACTAAATAAGTACATAGTTATGTTGAATAAGGCTGCCTCTTTCAAATTTGTGAATTGATGGCCCCAGGGACAAGGGTTCTTAGGTGCTAGGGCGGGGCTATATAGATTATATTGTGAAAATGCATTATTTCTTTGAAAATCTTCTTTGCTCCTGGGTATTTAAGAATTAAATCAAATTCGTAATTATGTTGAATAAGACTGCCTCTTCCGAAATTATTGAATTTCATGGCCCCTGGGTCAGGGGTTCTAGTGTTAGGGCGAGGCTCTATTAATTATGTAGTGAAAATGCATAAATTCTTTGAAAATCTTCTCTGCTCCTGGGTATTAAACAAACTAACCAAGTACATAGTTATGTTGAATAAGAGTGTCTCTTCCAAAATTGTGAATTTCATGGCCCAAGGGTCATGGGTTCTGGTGTTAGGGCGGGGCTCTATTGTATAGTGAAAATACATTAATTTCTTTAAAAATCTTCTTCTTTGCTCCAGGGTATTACATAAGCTAGCTAAGACTGCTCCTGGATATTAAACCAATGAACTATGTACATAGTTATGATGCACCCATTCTCAATATAAGGGCTCAAATAATGTCGCCTCATTTTCATTTAGAAGAAATACCACTGATGTAATTTTAAATCAACATTATAAATAGTCATATAACAATGAATAAGAATTCATATAATTATCGATCTGAAAAAGTATTTAAGGAGTTCCAAATTCAAATATAGTAGCCTATTTGAAATGCACGTTATTGTCGCCGATGCAAATATTATGCCTAATCCCCTCTATGTAATATATAGTTTTGATTCTCAAGTAAAAATTTTCTGATAAAATCAACCTTGTATCATATATATTTCTTTTCATAACAATAAATACATTTTCTTTGTGATAATAAATAATTTTTATTGTGCAATGTCCCTGTCGCTTAATTCTATTTCAACCACATTACAAGCAAACACAAAGATTATACTGATAGTTTTGTTCTCCTTTATTTATTGATGGGCTAAATTTGAAATTTCAAAGGATTAATTACTCCTATTTAGATAATGTAACATGAAATTGGACAATTTGAGCAACTTTTATAAATATGTTTACGGAATGAAAGACATTTTCAATCGTAGAGATAAGAAAGAAATGTACGTTACCTATATTCTTCCATTAAGAATAGATATTAAGTAGAAAATATGAGACGACTCTGAATAAGCAACCCCTTGTATCCTGTAAACTGGCAAAGACGTTTTGCTTAACACAATTAAAAATTATTTTTTACATGAAAAGTGATCATTTGAAATATACGTGACTGAAATGTACGTTACCATGAAATTCGAATTAAGTGAATCTCGCACGAATTTTCATGTATTCTCATACTTTCACACACTCGAATGTGTACACAAAGGAAAGTTTCAAAGGTTGGAGGTCGGCTCAATCCCAAAATTAATGAAAAGAAACGTTTCTGCTGAGGAAAAAAATATATTAAGGTCAATTATATGTAATTTATAATTTTGATACCTGGTATATATTTCTGAGTACGAAACCTGTATGATGCATTTCTTATGATATGCAAGTTCAAATAGAATCAATATATTGCGTGTCTAATGTACGCTTGTGGAAGGGAATTGATTTTTATATTTGAAATGTACGTTACGTATGGTAACGTACATTTTGCGTATTTCTAACTGACATTTTTTTTATTTAGTCAATGAATTTCGTTTACACGAGCGAAACAAAATTATCGTTACAATCCATTTGACAACTGATCACATAAATCCATCTAAATGCACCCCCAATCCTCGTAAATGTGGTAGACTGTTACCACATGCTAGAAAATTTATTTCTAAGTGTCTTAAATTCATCTTTAGCAACCTTTTTGCAGTTTGTTTACTTTTAATATGCGACTTTTCGTCAATATTAATTTAATTCTTGTTGATAATTTAAAACAAGGTATGCGTAGGCTTATAATTGGTAAAAAACAAAACAAAAAAAGAAAAAAGAAAGAAAGAAAAGAAACAAAAACAAATAAACCCAGAACACAAGACGGTCAAGTACATTTCAAATACTGAAAGGCAAACAATACTCAGTTTTGTTTGAATCATTGCATTTTGGGTTATATTTTCCAGATCTGCTGAAAAGCACGTACATGTATGTTTGTGTTTTGACAAACGATGTTGCAACATACTAAATGAAATTGTTAACAAAACCGTCGATGGATATATTCGAAATAGATTTATGTTAAGTTTCAATGGCCAAACACGAGCATTTGTTAGATCATAGCAAAATACGTCTGACTTTTATTATTTTTTTTTTTGTCTGTACCCTTGCACACAGGTAGAAGTAACTAATCT